GATGGAGAGTTTCTCCAGGGGTAGCATGTGACAGGAGGGGAGGTGCTGCTAGGTAGGCTTTGAGTTTTTGAAAAGCCTCATCTGCCTCAGGTTTCCACTCAAAGGCTTTTCGGAGAGTTTTGAAAAAAGGGAGACATTTATCTGCAGATTTGGAGACAAACCTATTTAATGCTGCGATTCTTCCATTGAGGCGCTGGAGCTCTTTGGTTGAGGAGGGTGACTTCATGTCAAGAATGGCCTTGATCTTGTCAGGGTTTGCCTCAATTCCCCTCTGATTGACCATAAAGCCCAGGAATTTACCAGACCCCACACCAAAGGCGCACTTCTCAGGGTTGAGCTTCATGTGATAGGACCTCAGGACGTTGAAAGTTTTTTGGAGGTGATCAATGTGGTCTACTGCTGCAAGGCTCTTTACCAGCATGTCATCCACGTACACCTCCATTGTTTGCCCGATCTGAGACTGGAACATCTTGTTCACCAGCCGTTGGTAGGTTGCTCCAGCGTTCTTTAGCCCAAAGGGCATGACCCTGTAGCAGTATGTCCCCTTTGGCGTGATGAATGATGTCTTCTCTTGGTCTGGGGGATGCATGCTAATCTGGTTGTACCCCGAGTATGCATCCAGGAAAGTGAGCAACTCATGCCCAGCGGTGGCGTCGATGAGGAGGTCAATCCGCGGCAGTGGATAACTATCTTTTGGGCATGCCTTGTTCAGTTCTGTGAAGTCGACACAGAGACGCCACTTCCCATTAGCCTTAGTAACCATTACTACGTTGGAGAGCCACTCTGGATACGCCACTTCCCTGACTGCTCCGTTATCAACCAGCTTTCTAATCTCTTTGTCCATGGCTTGGGCCCTTTCAGTGAAGGCTCCCCTTAACTTTTGGTGAACAGGCTTGTACCGTGGATCGACATTGAGGTGATGGGTAGCTACTTCCGGGTTGATGCCCTCAAGGTCCTCATGCGACCAAGCAAAGATGTCCATATTACGCTCCAAAAATTCAATCAACAGGGGAGCCAGCTCTTCAGAAAGGGAAGAGCCAATGTAAATTCTTCTGTCTGGGTGCTCCTTTTCTAAGACCACAGGGATGAGTTCCTCGACTGGTTCTCCTCTTTCTGTTGCGGAGTCATCCCTTGGGTCAAGGACCTCAACCTGCAATGCTTCTTGGGGCTTCCTAGCCTTCATAGAGGATACATAGCACTCTCTGGCTGTTATTTGGTCCCCTTTGACCTCTCCGACTCCATTTAAGGTTGAAAAGCGGAGAACGAGATGGTAGGTAGAGGGCACAGCTCTTAATGTGTTAAGAGCTGGCCGCCCTAATATGATGTTGTAGGCTGACGGGCATTCTATTACCAAGAAATTGACCATGACTGTGGAGCTTCGGGGTGTTATTCCGGCGGTGACGGGAAGTGTGATGGATCCAAGGGGATACACTTTTTCCCCTGAGAATCCAATGAGGGGTGACCTGATTGGCTGTAGCCTCTCCCTGCCCAGGTTGAGCTTGTCATAGGCCTCTGCAAATAGGATATCTGCAGAGCTGCCACTATCTACCAGGATCCTATGCACATGAAAGTTGGCCACCGTTATGGTGAGCACCAAGGGGTCATCATGGGGGTGTTGGATTTCCTCCAGGTCCTTGTTTGAAAAAGATATGACCTCGTCCCTTTCCTGCTTCGGCACCTTAGATGGGCGCATCTCGTATACATGTCTTACCTTCCTGGCATGGGCCTTCATCGCGGAAAGTGATTCTCCTCCACCTGCTAGTCCCCCCTGAGATAGTGTGGATTTCCCCTACAGGCTGCTGATCTTCCTGGTTGTAAGGTTGTGGTACTCGTTCCCTTCTAGCAACGTACTGACGTAAGTGACCACGCTGGATGAGCTCCTCAATTTGCCTCTTGAGGTCGTAGCAATCGTCGGTGTCATGCCCGTGGTCACGATAGAAGCGGCAATACTTGTTAGGATTTCTGCGATTTGGAGGAGACTTCATTTTTTCAAGCCACTTTATCGCGGGGTCATCATGGATCTGGAATAGGATGTGTTCCACGGAAGCATTGAGGGGAGTGAAGGGTTGACGGTTCCTCTGAGAAGCAGGACCTAGCCGGTCCTTGACAGGGACTTTCTCTGTCCTGCCATATTTGTTGCTGGTTTCCTTCTTATCGTCCTTCTCTCTTTCCTTCCTTTTCTCACCTGCTCTGGAAGACTCACTCCGCCTGGCCCTTGTGATGTCTTCTGCGTTTATGTACTTTTGGGCCTTGGCTAGCAGCTCTGGCATGCTCTTCGGTGGGCGCTTCAGAACTGAGAAAAGGAAACTTGATGAACGAAGGCCACCCAAGAAGGCGGTCATCGTCACCTTGTCGTCAGGTTCATCAACTTGGAGTACCTCCTCGTTAAAACGAGTGAGGTAACTCCTCAGGCTCTCCTCGCGGTCCTGCTTTATACTAAGCAGGTGCGTAACTGGCTTCTGGTGGCGACGCCCTCCAATGAAGTGTGAGACGAATGATCTGCTAAGCTCGGCAAAAGAGGTAATAGAGGCGGGGGAGAGCTTAGCAAACCACTGTCGGGCAGACCCCTTTAATGTGGTTGGGAATGCCCTGCACATGATTTCGTCTGGTACGTTGTGCAATTGCATCAAGGTCTTGTAAGTGTCGAGGTGGTCCAGTGGATCCTTTGTTCCATCAAAGGTCTCCACAGATGGCATTTTGAACTTCTGAGGGAGGGGGTAGTTTGCTACATCAGGTTTGAAAGGGGTATCAGTACGCCTTACCAGGTGGTCAACAGTCTCGGGTCCCTGTGCCTTCATGGCGTTGAAGACATCACCGAGTTGATTCTGTACCTCCTTTATCTTCTCGTCCCAATGATTGGGGGCTCCTCTGGAATGATCATGGAAGTGGCTTCCATGCCCCATGCTTTGGTTTTCACCCTCATCCTCCTGGAGATAAGGGTCCTCTCCCTGGAAAGCAAGGGGAGGGGGAGGTGCAGCTCCCTCATGTTGGGCTTCCCGAAGTGGGGTGCCCAATGGGGCACCCGGGCGTGGAGCAACAGGGCGTGGTGCTCCTTGATGTCCAGGATGTGGAGCTCCTTGGGGTGCTCTATGTTGTGCACCTCCGTGGGGCCCTCCATGTTGTGCACCTCCATGTGGTGCTCCACGTTGTGCACCTCCGTGTGGTGCTCCACCTTGGGGTCCTCCATGTTGTGCACCTCCGTGTGGTGCTCCTCCTTGTCCAGCAAGTATGAGTTGCAGTAACTGTTGGTTTTGAGCAACCAGTTGCTGCATGGTCTCCAATATTTGTTGGGGATTCGGGGCTAGAGTATCCGGAACAGGGTTGATAGGCGAGGGAGCAACCTCCTCCTCTCGTGGAGGATTGTCTTCGTGTTGGTTCATGGATCGAGTAGTGATCGCCATTAGTTAATGGATGTAATGTTCAGGAGTGAGAATTTTGTCGTTCCCACAGACGGCGCCAAACTGATGATGCACAAAAATGGTTTTGTGCACCACCCGTCAAGTGTAGATAATAAATGCAATGAAATCAATGAAAAAATTGAAGAAGACACAATTTATAGTGGTTCGGTCAATTCGAACTACGTCCACTCTTCAATGGCTTCAGTTGCCGGGTATTTTATTGATTCAAAGGTATGGAGAATGGAAATACAAGCTTTGAGAGAGAGAATGGAGAATCAAAGAAAAATAGTAATCTCCGGTAGTTGGTTCGTCCTCTGTCTGTCTCTGGTGGGGCGTGATCCACTTCTTCTATCAGATTGGAGCTATTTTATAGCAGCTAAGAGATCATCCTCCTGGAGATCATGACATATCCTCAAGGCTTCTTTATCGCATTTAAAAGATTATTCTTGGTGGAGATCACGACTTATCCTCAACGGAAGGAGGAGGTTGGGGAGCTCTTCATGAAACGTGGTCAAAGATAGGATCGTTTCCTTCGGTGGTACAGATAAGCTTCTTGTGCTCTCCTCTTGGTGACGTGCTAAGCAAGAAGTCTAACCGGCCTTGGACTGTCTTGGACTTGGTGGATTTGGACCGTTTCCTTTGGTGGTGCAGATAAGCTTCCCGTGCTTTCCTCTTGATGACGTGCTAAGCAAGAAGTCCAACCGGTCTTGGACTGTCTTGGGCTTGGTGGAATCAAAATGAGGTTGAGCTCCTCAACTGGGGTTGAACTTTAACACATAAATTGGACTATTTGAGCTTAACTCATCACTATTCATTCTTTTGGAGTTCATGTCTCAGGCAATATATTTATATGATTATATCTACATCTATGCTATTAATAAAAATAAATTTACATGAAAAATTTTTAATTCATTATTTTACCCTTATAAAAAATTTTAAACAACACATTATCCTTTCATTATTAAATATCTAAATTATCATTATATCATTTTGTGTTTAAATCTTCAAATTACTCCAAACATCTCTTTTAAGCATTGATTAGAATATTGACAATTATTGTTATTTTATTTTATGAATTATAATTTGAAATCTAATAAAATGAATTTAAAAATGGATTATTTTTATCTTTTTTTTTATTATTAGAACAACGAATCCCTGGGAAAAGATAAAATATAAAATAATACTTAATTTAAGTACACATACACCTAAAACTTTTTATTACTATTTTACGTATGAAAATTATTCACGTGCAATACACGTGGTGCATTACTAATTCTCTTAAGGGTATTTTTGATATTTCATTAGCAATAATATTTTATTATTTTTTATACCAAATAAAATAATAACAAATTTATTCTTTCTATTTTTTAAGGATGAAAAAATCTATTCTTCCTATTTTACGTCCCTCCTACCAAGTGAATCATTATAGAACAGTAATAAAATATATTTTCTCTCGAATTATATTCTTTTGAAAAAAAAGTAATTACCTCCGAAAGCATGATGAAAGGATACGTTTGTATTTTTCTAAAATATAACTTTTGGGATGATGCTGAAAAATAAACAGAGGTGTTTGACAAATTCAAAGATGGAAACGGGAGATTCATGGACAACTTAAGGAAGGATGTGGCAGGTCTTTTGAGTTTGTATGAAGCTTCGCACCTTGCAATGAACAGTGAAGATGGTTTAGAAGAAGCCAAAAGCTTCAGCATTAAACATCTAATGTCATTAGCTGGTAAGTTGGACACTAATTTAGTTGAGCAGGTCAAGCAGTCCTTGCACACACCCTTATACTGGAGAATGCCAAGGTTAGCAGCCCGGAAATTCATCGATCTCTACGTAGTAGACGACGAAAGGTGCTTAATTCTGAGCAAGTTGGCTAAATTGGATTATAATCTTGTGCAGTGTGTGTATCAGAAAGAAATGAAGGAACTTACGATGTAAGTTTTATTACCTGTTACAAAATTATATCCTAAGAACAATGGATTAACAATAACAATAAGTATTGAATTTTGCAGTTTAGGTGGTGGAGAGATTCGGGATTTAAAGAAAATCTTAGCTTTTCCCGGGATCGCTTGATGGAAAATTTTTTGTGGGTAATGGGAGGCATTTTTGAGCCCCAATTCTCCAAATGCAGGAAAGATCTCACGAAGATGGTTTGCATATTAACTGCGATTGACGACATGTATGATATTTATGGATCATTAGATGAGCTTGAACACTTCACTGATGCAGTAAATCGGTATGATATGATATGCACACTGCTCAGATTAGCACTTTGGATCTCAAGTATTTAACGTGTGTGCATGCTGTAATGGCTCATTTTTTTTTTTTTTTTCTATCAGATGGAGTACTGAGGCCATGGAAGACCTTCCTGAGTACATGAAGCTATGTTACTTGGCCATGTTCCATTTTGGGAATGAAGGTGTCAATGATGTTTTGAAAGATCATGGCCTGGATGTTCTTCCCTACATTAAACACGAGGTAAAGAAAAGTGTTTATTTATTTATAAATGTGGTGAAATCTTATGTATTGAATGTTTAGTAGGCGAGTGAGAGAGACCCACTAATCCAATTACCTAAAATGATTTTGTATATTAATTTTAGTAAATAATTTGGTAAGCATATCAATACTCCAAAACATGCCTCGAAAAAGCACACCACCATAAAGGCCTAAGTGAATTGGCCTATAGGCTATGTCTTAAGGTAAAGAAAAAGAGCAATACTATTTGGACCAAATTTATTGACCTACTCACTGACAACCATTGGATTACTAGTGAATCTTTATATTCGTTGAGATCCGCTACCAACTCAATAGTTGTAATGGATTAAATCAATAAATTAGGTCATACTAGTATTATTGAAAAAAAAAAAAGCTCTGACAGTATGAGAGACTAACAGTAATTTATGTATTGCAGTGGACAAATCTTTGCGGTTCATATCTGCTAGAAGCACGATGGTTTTACAGTGGCCATACACCAACACTGGATGAGTACTTGAGAAATGCGTGCACCTCCATAGGTGGTCCTATAGCCATATTCCATGCTTACGTGCTGCTAGGGTTTCCCATTACAGAAGATTCCCTCAAGTCCTTCAAGCTTGGCTCCAAAACAATTTACTGGTCATCTCTCATTACCCGACTTTGTGATGATTTGGGCACTTCCAAGGTATTTGCACTAAATTTTCAGTCTTCACAAACTGTATAGTCTACTCTTATGGCATGGAAGTAGAATTAGAAATGGCAAATAATATCTAATATCCCCCTAAATATTTCTCCAATCCAAAAAATCTATCCCTCCCCTTCTCTATTCACTAAGAGTAATGCTACACTGACCAAATTTTGGGACCAAATTTGGAGCCCAAATAACATGACAGCTGACTTGGGCTTCTTTATTTGGTGCTATGTCATTTGGGCCCCAAGAAAAACTCCAAATAATATGTTGTCAAGTCATTTGGGCTCAAAATTTGGTCCCAAAATTGATCAGCATAGCATTACTAATTCACTAATCAATAGCCAGAACCGTGACAAGAGCCGCGGAGCAATGCTTCTTTGGCACATATGTGAAGTAGTTTATCTATGTACTTATTTTATGTACCAAAAAAAAAAAAGAATTGCTTTTATTACTGGATAAGACAATCAATTACATGAAGTATCTCATTTATGCATGATGATACCTCAAAATAAATCTCAAACGTCAGTTCAGAATGTCAGCTCAGCCCAAAAGGTCAGATTAGATGAACAGAACTCGGAAGAGTAAAGCTGGAGGTCCCTTCGAGATAAGCAAGGGCAATAACAACTAAGGCAACAGCTGGAAACTCACGAGAGGTTCCTAAAAGCATTAGGAAGCAATAATCGAGGCACCTAATCGCAACCAACCAAGATCTTCTCCTATAATTAAGGAGAACCCCACGAAATAAGGGCAAGAATCTCGGCTAAGATCCCACTGAATAGGGAACAGCCCTATAAATCACTATGTAATGCCCCCAAGGAACGGGAGGAACCCTAGAGGTAAAAACTAGTCATTGTACTCTTGCAATCATCATTATAGAGAGAGAAGGAGCAAGAGTCTCCATTAAATAGTGGATTAACCGAGCTGGTGAACCACTATATTCCTACTGTGTTAATTTCCCAATTTTCTGACAATTCTCAGTATCATTCACTCGAGTTTAGTAGCTCAGATCCCAACAATTTCAATATTATTTTCTTTCATTTACTCGTCATCACAAATTCTCATCACGTTGAAATACACCATCAGTTTGACACCGTCTGTGGGAACGACTGTTCCTGTTACAAATAAAGTTGATTTTTCAATGACTGATGGTATCAACGCGAAACATGAGCCGAAGTCAGACCAATCCTCTACGGATGCAAGATCAACAAGAAGCTGCAAATAACAGGCAACCCAAAAACGCTCAAGAAACAGATCCCCCCATAGGGGGCCTTCCCATGAATGATGAGATAGAGGTCCTTCGTCTTGTCAATGAACATATGATAAAACAGAACGAAGAGCTCTTAAAGCTCTTACAACGCCCACCAGAGGCACGACTGGTCCAAGGAGGCCAGAATAACCCACCACCAAGAGAGCAACCGCATCTCGACCCCTTTAGAGAAGTTAATGAGTTGGGAAAGAATAGTCAGACCTTCGGGCAAGAACCTCGACTACCCCCTAGGAATGAACACAACGAGGAAGTGCAAAGTCAGTATAAGGAAGAGGAGAGGAGCAAATTCTTTCCTTATCAACAGGAGAGAAGAGAACACCACTGGAAACAACGTTTCAAAGACATCCAGCAAGAGCTCAGCCAGATGAAGGAGGTAGTGAAGAACAAGGCCCCAATCACTATGGATGCCTTGGTGAGCAAATCGAATCCCCATTCACTGCTAGGGTGTTGCACTTCCCTCTCCCACCTAAATTCAGAATGTTGCAGATGGATGCTTTCGATGGGACAAAAGATCCCGTAGACCACCTCAACACCTACAAAAACCAAATGGAGTTGTATGGATATCAAGATCTAGTGAGATACAGGGCCTTTGCTATCACCCTGAAAGGTTCAGCCTTAGCATGGTTCAACAGACTCCCCCCAGCCTCGATTTTCTCTTTTAAAGAGTTTGTCAATCTCGTTTGTGTCCCACTTCATTGGAGCTCGGACCTATAGGAAACCGAGTTACCGTTTGTTAAATGTGAAAACAGGGACCTGTTGAGAACCTACAGTCTTATATCCAACGGTTCAATTCAGAATCCTTGAAGGTGGATGTCCTAGACGAAAAATTTACTATTATAGCCTTCATAGCAGGTCTGGGGGTTCAGTTAAAAAGACCTGATGTTTTCTATCTCAAAGAACCCCCAGGCTAGTATGGCGGAGGTGCTCGCCAAAGCAGAAAAGTACATAAATGGTGAGGAAGTGCTCCTCTCCAAGGTTGGGAGCTCTTCGTCGAGAAAGGAGAAAATGAAGGAAGAAAATAAGAGAGAACGAAGTCCCAGAAAGGAAAGAGAATGAGGCAGGTCTCCAAGAAGAGACAGAGAGCATTCCCCGAAAAGAAGGAAAAATGTCAGGGATCGCCTCGGCCCTCCACAACCAGAGCTACAACCGAGGTATGCACCCCAGCAGTTCATCCCTTGACTACTACAGTGTCTCAGATACTGTATGAGGTGCAAAATGAGAAGTTCTTAAGGTGGCCACCCCAGATGAAAGTAGACCCGGTAAAAAAGGATCCTACGAAGTATTATGACTTCCACAGAGACCATGGTCATCACACCGACGACTGTATCCAATTGAAGAGAGAAATAGAATTTCTAATCTGGTGCGGGCAGTTGCGACGCTATATGGCTAATGATAATCAAAACCGAGCTCTCCCACCCCCACCCCCTCAGCGTCAAGCACCAGAGCCACACCAGCAACCTATGGGGGAAATCAGAGTGATATCTGGAGGATTTTCCGGAGGAGGAGGATCCAGCTCTGCCAGAAAGGCCCACTTGCAAAAAATTAGAGTCACAGAAGCTCGCGAAGTATATGCTGTGTCTAAATCTCCACGCTTAGACACGGTTATCATTTTCTCAGATTCAGATCTAGAGGGATGCCAACATCCACACGATGACCTATTGGTGGTAAGAGTTGTGGTTGCCAACAGGACTATCCATCGTGTTTTGATTGAAAATGGCAGCTCGACAGACATCATTTTTGCTTCTGCTTTCGACAAAATGGATATAGGAAGGGAAAAACTTGAACCAGTGAGTGCCCACCTATTGGGATTCTCAGGAGAAAGGGTGTTGCCCCTAGGGTTAATTCAACTCATCTTGACCTTAGGTGACCCACATTGTCAGACTACTACAACTGTAAAATTTCTAGTGGTTGACGCACCTTCAGCATAAAGCCATTTGAGAAGTGGATTACCCAGTCTGGCTAGCCAATGTAGTCCTAGTTAAGAAGACAAACGGCAAATTACGTCTTTGCATTGACTTTACAGACCTTAACCGTGCTTGCCCGAAAGATAGTTTTCCTTTACTCCGGATAGATTTGATTGTAGATGCCACTACGGGATATGAGCTCCTCAGCTTTATGGATGCCTTCTCGGGGTACAATCAGATCGAGATGGATCCCAATGACCAAGAGAAAACCTCGTTCATAATCGAGCAAGGGACATACTGCTATCAAGTGATGCCTTTCGGTTTAAAAAATGTAGGAGCCACTTACCAGCGCCTGGTGAATAAGATATTTTAAAAACAGATTGGGACCTCCATGGAGGTCTATATTGACGACATGTTGGTCAAGTCACTGAAGGCAGAGCTCCACATTGGGCACCTAGCAGAGTCGTTTCAGGTCCTGAGAGAATACAAGATGAAGCTCAACCCTGCTAAGTGTGCCTTTAGGGTGTCAGCAGGAAAATTTTTAGGATTCATAGTTAATAGCAGGGGAATAGAGGCTAACCTAGAGAAAGTAAAAGCAGTGTTGGATATGCAGCCTCCCTCCAATACGAGGGAAATACAACGTTGAATCGAGAGAATAACTGTCCTGAGTCGTTTCATTTTCAGATCAAGCGACAAGTGTCAGCCCTTCTTTCGAGTCTTAAAGAAAGCTTTTCAATGGGATGTTCGGTGTGAAAAAGCCTTCAAAGCATTGAAAGAATACTTGAGCTCCCCACATGTCTTGGTAAGTCCGTTAGAAGGAGAAGTAATTACCCTTTACCTGGCTGTCTCAGAGTTCTCAACTAGCGCAGCGCTAGTAAGGGAGAAGGACAAAGCTCAGCAACCAGTTTACTATTGCAGCCGAGTTCTGAAGGGGGCAGAAGAAAGGTATCCTAAAATGGAAAAACTCATTTTAGCCTTGGTGACAATTGCTAGGAGGCTAAGACCCTACTTCCAAGCTCATACTATCGAAGTCTCAACAGATCATCCAATAAAGCAGGTGCTGCACAAGCCAGAATCATTGGAGAGACTGGTTAAATGGGTCATTGAACTTAGTGAGTTTGACATCAGATATAAGCCAAGGACAGCCATTAAGGGGCAGGTATTGACAGATTTCATTACAGAATTCACAACTGAGATACCTGCAGAGACATGGCAGTTAGTACCTGACCTCCCCACGTGGAAACTTTCAGTAGATGGAGCTGCCAATGCTCAGGGCAGTGGAGCGATTTGATTCTGACCTCCCCTGATAAAATAGATGTTGAATACGCACTAAGATTTGGATTCAAAGCTTCAAACAACGAAGTCGAGTATGAGGCGGTCATAGTAGGGCTAACTTAGCTCATTTAGTGGAAGCTAAGCAACTGGAGATCTGCAGTGACTCACAACTCGTGGTGAAACAGATAGAGGGAGCCTACGAGGCAAAGGGTGAGAAGATGGTACTTTATCTTAGGAAGGTGCAAGAATTGACTAAGAAATTTGTGCAAGTAAAGATTAGACATGTCCCTAAAACTGAAAATTTGAGAGTAGACGTTTTGCCAAAGTTGGCAACTGCTTCTCAAGAAAATTTGGACAGGTTGATCCCCATGGAGCATTTGGCGGAACCATCTGTGTGTATTGAGAATGAAGAAGTTTTTCCTGTGCAGAGTCCATCAAGCTGGATGGACCCCATCGTGGAGTATCTCCAAAACGGGACCTTACCAGAAGACAACAAGGAAGCAGCAAAGCTGAGAACCAGGTCAGCTAGATTTTTCATTTTGTAGGGAAACTTGTACAGATGAGGTTTTTCAACGCCACTCCTCAAA